TTGTGCTTAACAATTGGCTTGCAACAAAATGTCTTGAAATGTGCTAACTGGCTCTTGTGAGCTAGTGGTATAAACCCACTCCAGCATACACTGACCTCAACCCCAAGGAGAGCTCAGGGCTATGATGTCCATTTCCTTATGATACTGGTCAAAGGGAGACAGACTTGGAGGTACTGCTGGTTTATTGTTGATTATTATTAAATATCCTTATGGAATCTTTGGGAAGAGGCAGGGGGAGGAATCTTTGTTGAGACAGAATGCCCCAGAGGAATCGCTATTCTTCTGTTCATTTAAATTCAGCCAGACCCTGGTCTTCCTTCTCTCCAATCTGTATATTACATGGAGGCCCAGAAATTGAGAGAATGACTCAAAAAACAAGAAAAGGAAAAAAGGAAAGGAGAAGACCCCAGTCACCGAGGAGGGACCAGCTTCCATGCAAAGGGGCAGGGCCCGGCCCGGCCCGGCCCGGCCCGGCCTAGCCTTGAAAGACAGACTGACAATAGCTGAGCTACACAGGTCAGCCTCTGCCTCCCAGACCTCAGCTCAAGCAAAGCAGACATAGCAGAGTGGAGCAGATGCCTTTATTGGTCTGACCAGCATGGTACCAATGATGGGCTTAGACAGAGCTTCCCTGGCTGTCCTGGCTCCTGCCTTCCCTTCCTTGGGAGTTCACACCACACCCCTGGGAGACAGGCATGTCCGGCAGGAGTGGCAGACAGAGCCAGGATAGGAAATAACGGGGTTGGGATCTGCAAGGGACTCCTGGTAATGTAGGTAATGTGGGGGAGTGAGGCCACTCAGTAAAACGTCCATCAGAGCAGAGCAGAGGCTTTCCTTGCCCAGGGCCCCGCCCTCACCAGGAATGGGTGGGTCTGGAGGGAGAGCCTCCCCTTGATGGCCTCCTACTGGGCCCTTAGTGCCTCATCTTCCTTGATGCTCTGCTCAAGGTAGGAATTTTTCTGTTCCAATTCTTTAATTTTTCTTCTACTGTTTTCTGTTTCTCTAGTAGCTGGTTATGAATTACCTCCTTGGACTAAAGGATAAACATTCTTCCTACACCTTCATTCATGTTAGTCTCATCTACCAAAGTCATAATCTCTGTATCTGTAAAATGTGCATGCTTTTTTGTTCTGTTTAGCTGTTCACTCTGTATGTCTGCAAGCTTCACCTTCTGTTGAGTGTCCATAACTTGGGCTTGAAGCTGTGTAAAGGCCTTCAACTCCAGATCCACGGGGCTGCCATCTTGGTTTGTTCTTTGTGCCTGTGAGGTGGGAGACGACTCTCCATTTCATTTTTGACAACTTCCAATTTCCCCAGATTCATACTTCGTACATTCCATGTTCCGACTTTCAATGGTTCTCTTCATTTTGAGTTGTGCCCCATCACGGGCTTTACTTCATTCACGTCATCACGGTCAACTCTACTTTGTGGAGGCAGCTCTTCCCCAGTCATATTTTGAGTGTCTTCCAATCTGAGGGGCTCATTTTCTGGCACTATTATCTGGCAGTGTTTCTCTGCTATTCATAAGGTTTTCAGTGACTAAATATTTGCAAGCAGTTCGTCACTCCATGTTCCTTCCTAGACTGTCTTTGTCTGGAAGCTCATCTGAAACCTATCCACCATGGGCGACCTTGCTGATATTTAAAATACCAGGGGCACAGCTTTCAGATGTGAGTTGCTGTGATTTTGCTCATAGAATCCTTCAATATTAATATTGTTACCCGAAGCTTGCATTTTTCTTCAGTTCTTTCAGCTTGAGAAATGCTGAGCGTTGTACATTCTTCCCTTTTGGTTTGAAGACTCCAAAATGTTTGGATTGCACATTTCATTCTAATATTTGAATGGGCCTTCTCGAACTGGAGATCTGTAGGTAAATGTAATTCTTAGATGTCCCATTTATATGTATCTACAAATCACCCAGTGACCTCTAAGACTAGATCCTGGGGGTCAATGTTGTTGTTAAGTGCTGTGAAGTCAGTTCTGATTCGTAGCTACCTTGTATAGGGTTTCTGAGGAGTAGCAGGTGGGTTTGATCTGCTGCCCTTGTGGTTAGCATTCCAGTGCTTATCCTAGAGTACCACACCAGAACTTCATCATCTGTATACATAAATCACCTGAGGATCTTGTTAAACTCTTGTTAGATTCTGATTCAGTATATCTGGGCTGGGAAAACAAATTCTCAGCAAGGGGTCCAACCCTGAAGGAGTCAGTTTAAAGCCAGCCTCCATACTGAATTGCAGCCTTAAAAACCCTACGAGGCAGTCTGACCCTACAGGTCCTATAGGGTCACCATGTGTGAGAATTAACTTGATGGTCATGATTTTATGATCATTTTTGTTGTTATTATTTATTACCTTCGTCTGTTCCAGTAACTGGGATGTATTTACGTTTGCAGGCTCCTCCGGCATCGCAAAATACAAAAATGATTTCATCCATAGTCATTTCCCAGCTGATGGATGAGAACCAATCCAGAGGCACCGGATCTGCAGGGCCAAGTGATGTCGCCCAGCCCTGCTCATGCCACGCGAAAGCATTGGTGGCGGTACCCTGCAGCGTGGACATCCACAGCGGACTGGCGCTGCTTCCCGCCAGCGTGAGGGTTCAGACACCTTCCCATGAGCCAGGGTCCTGGACTGAGCCACCGCCCTTGGAGAAGGGTTCACGCAGGGGTCCCCATCAAGGATTTGCGTCCATCACGGTCACAGCCCGGCGCGTGGGGCCCCCGGCCAGCGCCTTGCCGTGGGCGGGTGCTGGAGACGCACTGTGCAGCCAGTACGTGGCTGGGGGCTCTCTGCTCGCAGACCCTTGGGTTCTGGACGGTGGTGTGGAACTGACTGGGCCCCGCAGACCACTGGTGCGCACGGAGCTGTACAGAAACGGGGTGGTGGCGCGGCCCTGGCTGTGTGAGGGACACGTGTGCGGGGTCGCCGGTGGGCACAGCAGCCGGAGCGGCCGGCCCCCCGGAAAGGACCCGCTGCTGTTCAGTTCTTGCGTCCATCTCCGAGTGTCCCAGCCGTGCCCGAATTCCATCTACTACCTGGACAAGTCACTCTCTGTCCCCGTGGATCCACCTCCAACAGCCAGCCCTAAAGTGCACAGGTCTGCTCTGTCCCTCCACCTCAGCTGCAGTTCTCTCAGACCAACACCAGAGGGAGTCTGTGGCCTGGCTAAGGGTGAACCAATGGGCAGCGGCCTCCGAGTGGCCACTGAGCATGGGCAGAACCTTCTAGGCCCCTGCTGGCACCCAGGGCTTCAGGAGAACACCTTGAAGGGAGCCCCCGCACTGGTGAGGGCACGTCTGGGCAACAAAAGGTGTCCTTGGAGCAGCTCACCTGCTTTGGGCAATGCTGGACTTGCAGACGTGGGGACAGACCACCACGAAGTTGACTACCATGCTAGTGGTCATGCCAGCCAGCTGACCATCCACATCCCTGGTTGGAGCTACTCAGCAGGTGAGTGATTACTGACTTCAGGAGCAGGGAGGTAGGGACAGGTGGCCCAGACACCAGCCTCTGCAAGGCTGGTAAGTGGGCTCCTTTGCAGCGTTGTTCCTAGAGATTCTCAGAGATGCTTTGCTCTACTCCAAGTTGTCAATTGAGAGCTCTGACTAATGTCTGATGTGGGTCGGTTTTCTTAGAGGATCCTTTTGTGGATGAAGAGAGACAGCCCATTCTAGATTCTGTAACGAGTGTGGAAGTCAATTGAGCTCCTCAATGCAGTTCATTTAGACTGCGCCCACTGGTGGGGTTCAGAGAAGGATAAAGTGGTGTCCAACTCCAGAGATTTGTTGCTGTGGCAGGTGTCCAGAATTCTGCATTTTGACTTTTCCATCAGTGAGTCAATATCTACAGACCAGCCATAGACTCCTGGGTCCCAGCATTCAATACTGGTGTGTGTGTGTGTGTGTGTGTGTGTGTGTGTGTGTGTGTATTATAGATGCATAGAGTCAGTCAGTCCATGGGTGTCCCAAATGGTTCGCCCTGCACTACGCGCCTAAAAAGGAGGAGCCCTGGTGATACATTGGGTAAGCACTGGCTGTTCACCCAAAGGTTGGTGCGTCAAACCCAGCACTCGCTCCATGGAAGAAAGATACATGACAGCCTGCTTCTGTAAAGGCGGCAACCTTGGAAGCCCTGTGGGCCTGTGAGCCGGAAACGAGCCAACAGCCATGGGTTTGATTTGGGGTTTGGTACTAACCTTGAGGTACCATAGAAGGTAGGTCTGACAATCTGCTTTAGTAAAGATTACAGTCAAGACAACCCTGTGCGTCAGTTCCACTCCGTAACACACGGGGTCAGTGCGAGTCGGAATTGAATTGATGACAATAGTTCTATCTCTTTATGTATATTATTGTTGTTTAGTGCTGTTGACTGGTTCTGACTCATAGCAACCCTGTATAGAGACTCTGATAAGCAGCTGGTGGATTTGAACCACTGACCTTGCTGTCTAGTGCTGATCCTACAGCGCCATGTAGATACATATGTAATTGAGATTCCCTGATGGTATCCACAGTTAACATGTTCAGCTATTAACCAAAAAGGTGGAGGTTTGAGGCTACCCAGAGGCACCTAGGAAGATAGTCCTGGCCACCTGCTTCCAAAAAATCAACCATTAGGAATCCCATGGTGCACCGTTTGTACACTGACACACGTGGTTGGAAATCCCATGGTGCACCGTTTGTACACTGACACACATGGTTGGAAATCCCATGGTGCACCGTTTGTACACAGACACACATGGGGATGCTGGACACACATGGGGATGCTGTGAATTGGTGTTAGCTTGATGGCAACTGGTATGTAGAAGGGAATGTCAAAGATTTCTTGGAAAATTTTCATTTCATTCCACTTTTCCATGAACTTTTGGAAGCCTACTCACCATACACACACTCGAATGAGCATCCATCCACCTTCTCCCTTCCTCCTGGCTAGGCACGTTGTGACTGACCGTGCCAAGTGGCAATCTCCCTGGTTTTGTCTGTCTGCTAAGTTGACTTGGCCGGGATCTGCTGTCCATTTTCTCCCCCTGCCAGACCCAGCCAGAAATCCCTAGGTCGGCTGCCCAGGAACCCCCCTCCTCTCTAGAGAGCTCTGGGAGGGAAAGCAGACGTTCACCGGAGGCGGCCTGTGTTCTCTCCATCTCTGTGTAAACTTCCGACGTTCAGCTTGACTTTCTTTGAGAGACTCTGCTTTATGAATCAGCCACTTTCCACTTGGGAAAAATATTTAAAGATAATAGTAAGAAAATTGAAAACATAGTGTCTGTGTAATAATTTTACAGCATGATTTCTATCCATGAAGGCTTTATTAATTAATAAAAATGACTGTAAAACATCTTAAAGCTATAATATGCATAACACTATTAAATCATGTCATTAATTTTAACAAGTGTATATGTATATATCTATATGCACTTGAATGCTCTGAGATTTTTAAGGCAGTTTGGACATGGCTTTTAGATTGATGAAAACATTCAAAGGCTCTGACTCTTAGACATACCGACGAGAAGGAAAATGTCAGCAGCCGTCAGAGAGCTCCAATCGAACTCCAGTTTAGTATTTAGAGTATGCTCGAGCCAAGCACTTTGCCTTCCTTATTGAAGAAGATTCCAGAACCTATTCGAGTTCAACTTGCCCTGTTGTATCCCCCTCACACTGAAGTACATCCGTGCCCACTCCATGCCTCACAGTGTGAAATAATCATGTGGATTGACAGTGCTTTTCATCAAAGTGTCTTTAAAAATAACTGTCGTCAGATCTCAAACAGTCATCTCAGAGGGGCGCAAGAGCAAAGAAAATTCTCCCGAATTAGTTTTGGCTTTGGCACAGAAGAGGTTTCTGATTGTGACTTTGTGAAGTGACTACTCTCGGAACTGATTTTCTTAGGCAAACAGTGCCATTGCATTTCCCGAGAGCCGACTTCCCTCAGACTAAGGATCCATCTGAAAGCTTCACGTGTCGCTCAAAATCCTGTGGCCTCATCTCCTCAGACCGAGGGAGTCCTGAACACCTTTAGTTAGAATCGCTGCCTTTTATTTTCTGGCTCAGTGAACTTGGACAAGCCACACAATCTCTGAGCTTTTCTTCCTCATCTGGGTAATGAAACGAGGGAATGGATTTGATGTTCTTGAAGGTCTCTTCCAACTTGAATTTCTGCTCTATTTGCCCAGCGTAGAATTGTGAGGGACAAGTCCTCGTGTGGCACTGTGGGATAAAGCACTGGACTGCAAGGTCAGTTCGAACCACAAGGTCAGCAGTTCAAACTCACCAGCTGCTCCTTAGAAACTCATGGGGTCGCCATGAGTCGGAACTGACTTGACTCATTGACACTTAACAACCACAACAACAATGTGGAGTACTGGTGTGGCGCTGTAGGATAAACACTGGCCACAAGGTTGGTGGTTTAAACGTACCACCTGCTCCTCAGAAAACCTATACGATGTCATTATGAGTGGGACCCAACTGGCTCAAAAGCACTTAACAACAACAACAACAACTACAATGGGTCCTTCAGTCATAAAAATCCAAAGCCATAGAGCCCTGGTGTCCACCATTTTGGGCACAGGTCTCAGATGCATGTGAGTATACATGTGAGAGTACACACCCCTCACACACTCACACACACTACATCACCCCACATAGATAAGTCTTCTCATACACACACACCACATACACCCCAACATAGATGACACCTCACCCCACCCACACCACATACACCCCATCACAGATAACCCCTCACCCCACACACAGCACATATACCCCAACACAGATAACCCCTCACTTCACCCACACACACCATACACCCCAACATAGATAACCCCTCACACACACCACTTACACATACCCCACATAGATAATCCCTCATACACACTCACCACATACATACATACACACCACATAGATAACCCCTCACACAGCACATACGCACATACACCCCACATAGGTAACCCCCCCCACACACACACACATTCCCTTTTGCTGGTGTTCCCATTAAGAAACTCATTTCCATGGTGTGCTTCCTTGTCTCCTGAGAAGATATATTTTCTTGCCTGAAGCTTATAAGCACCGCTCTTGCTAGCTGTCACCACCTGTCCTAGCAGAATCTATAAAACGGTCTTCAAGGGTGAGTTTGCTGACCTTCCATCTTGATGAAGCTTTGTAGCCTTCAATGCAAGTGCCTTCAGACAGTGGTGGTGTTCATTAAAACTCAAAGGAACTGTTTGCATTTTCCTGACTGAAAATGGACTCTTGTCTTAGGCATTCTTGACAACCAACCTCCTGTGGCTACATGTACTATTAGTGGTCTTCATACTTCACAGTTCCTGAACCTGATTCTTTTCATCGGAAGGACCCCTAAATACCTCATGAGCCGCATCCTCTGAGGCCGCCTTATTGACGTTCAGCTTCTTGGCGGGTGCAGCCTGGGAGGTTCTACAAACAAGGCAATTTGAGTTCTCCTCATTAGGTCGCTGGACAGAAAGTCCTACAAATTGTATTCTTGAATGTTCTATAGCACTTCCTGGAGGAAGATGACTAGAACTGTGAAGACTGTTACAACACTCCCTGCAGATTGGGGCACCCGCTGGGACACAGCATTGCAGCAGACAGGTGGGGACGTGCGGTCTCTTCAGGGGCTCAGGGTTTCAGAACTGTTTTACTCTGGGTCTTATGCCTCAGTCGCTGTGTTAGTGAGCACTCAGCTAGCATTGTGTTTGGTGGCCATTCACAAATCCCTTCATCTGTTATAAGAACTGCACTTCATCACCATGGATACCATCACCTGCCACCCAGAAGACAAGTACTGCGGACCTCTTCAGTGCCAGACCCCAGACCACATCCACTGAATTCATTATTTTAAATTATCCAAATTATTCTGGAAGGGAATATCATCACTATTTTGCAAATGAGACAAATGAAACTTGAAATATGCCCAAGTCCACGGGGCCACTAAATGCCAGAGTTGAAAGTAGCCTTGGGGATTTGATAAACAGCAAAGATGTCAGTTTGAAGACTAAGGTGCATCTGACCTAAGCCATGGTGTATTTTCAATAGCCTCATAATGCATGTGAAACTTGGATAATGAGTAAGGAAGACATGCATTTGAGTTATGGTTGTCGTTGTTGTCAGGTGCCATTGAGTCGGAACCGACTCATAGCGACCCCATGCACAGCAGAGCGAAACAATGTCCGATCCTGGACCAACCCCACCACCGCTGCCACACTTGACGCCATCAATGACGCCACCTGGCTGATCCATCTCATTGGGGGTCTTCCTCTTTTTCTCTGACCCTCCATCTTACCAAGCATGACATCCTTCTCCAGTGACTGTTCTCTTCTGACAATATGTCCAAAGTATGAGAGACGAAGCTTAGCCATCCTGGTCTCCAAGGAGCACTCTGGCTGCACTTCTTCCAAAACAGATCTATTGGTTCTTTTGGCAGTCCATGGCACTTTC